CGGGTTCCCCAAAGTCTGAGAATTATAAATATCAAAGGTTAAACTGGAACATTGACAAGAAATTAAAAATGGACTAAAAACCAATAACAGGATATGGATTGTTTAGGAAGATTGAATGCAATTAAGGTATGTGTAAGCTAACAATTTCTTGATAAATGTAATAACGATGTCCTTATTGAACTGAGGTAACTAGAAATGTACCCAACTGAACATGAGACAGCAATTGTTAAGGGGAAAAATAGAAGAAATATTAGCCTGAGATTTGGACTCAGATTGTGTTATTGAGCTATTGATTAACCCCGTCACCGCGTGGCTTTCTAAATATTCAAATGTAAAATTGGAAACTTCATAAAACATTATAAAAAAGAAAAGAAAGTGAAATTGAAAAGGACATATGTTCTTTTTTTTATTGAAATTTTTATAAACATTTTACAATAAAATCCCTCCCCACCTCTCTCCCTCCCCCCTCCCATTAACCCTCCCCCCCTTCCCAGAGCTGAATGCAGAGCTAAAAACAACAAAAGAAAAACATAAAAAATTAAATAAACATCAAACAATTATACATAAATCCTAAAAAGTTTTTAAACCCCTTTAACTCCATTACAATAAAATCAACAAATCTAAACATGACAAATTTATACAATAAGTTATTCAAAAGCTAAATAATACTTTCTAATCCCATATTTGTTCTGAACAAAATTTACCCATCTTTTCCATACATATATTTACATACATCTTGAATATTTACAAATATTCAAATGTAAAATTGGAAACTTCATAAAACATTACAAAAAAGAAAAGAAAGTGAAATTGAAAAGGACATATGTTCTTAACCAACATATTGACTGAGTTTAGACATTCGTTATTACCGATGGTTCTTAAATACATGGGCCCAGACAACGGACTGTTCACGAAGTGCCAAAGGTTTGTTATTGTGACAAATTAATAAAATATATCGCAAAGAAAGAAAGAAAGAAAGAAAGAAAGAAAGAAAGAAAGAAAGAAAGAAAGAAAGAAAGTGGGGTTCCCCCTACTCTTCAACCTCTTCATTTAGAGGAGGGTGACAGAAGGAGAACTGCTCCAACTTGCAGACCACAGCATGTGTAAGAGGATGACAATGTGGTGGTCCACCACCAGAGCGTTGAGTGACGCAAGTCTAACAACCTCCGAGGCATCTGGAGAGGAAACGGTTGAGGGTCCGGGGGCTTTTTGGGTGGTGGGACCTGGGGGATCTTTCCCCTTCAGGAAAGAAATTGGGTAAGGCTCCACCGCAGCCTCCCTCACCACCATTAACTGACTCGGCCGTTTTTTTGAGGAACCTCTTGAGATGCCTCCTGGCTGGGTTCACCTGCTCCAACTGTTACAAGGTGGTTCCTCAAGCGGTTTCAAGCCACCCAGGGTGGAGAGATGGATGCCCTCTGCACTCCAGGTATGTTTCAACATGCCCCCCTCAAAATTTGGGGGGCTGAGTAGAGCAGGATCGTCCTTGAGGGTCGGTTTCCAAAAATCCCACCTGAGATTTTGCCCGGAGCTGATTGAATTGACGGTTTCGTTATCCTTAGCGTACTTCAGAGAATCTGCGAGTGAAAAGGATCGACTGGATTCCCACTGGGGCTCCTCTGTAAAGATCTCATTTGGAGACTGACCAGAAGCTACAGCCCCCAAATTTTAAGATTTAGAACATCCTTCAAATGAAGGCAAACTGGAGTGCTGGTCAAAATCCCATCCTGGTCGATTTGATATTAAAAATCAATATTTATAATAATGACAATTGAGTTATCCAGCAAATAAGAGTTGAAGCCCTCCCCTCTTAAAGGATGCTGGCTGGGGGATTCTGGGAGTTGAAGTCCTCCACTCTAAAAGGATGCTGGCTGGGGGATTCTGGGAGTTGAAGTCCTCCCCTCTTAAAGCATGCCGGCTGGGGGATTCTGGGAGTTGAAGTCCTCCCCCTTTAAAGCATGCTGGCTGGGGGATTCTGGGAGTTGGTCCACCCCTCTTAAAGCATGCTGGCTGGGGGATTCTGGGAGTTAAAGTCCTCCCCTCTTAAAGCATGGCTGGCCTGTGGATTCTGGGAGTTGCAGTCCTCCCCTCTTAAAGCATGCCGGCTGGGGAATTCTGGGAGTTGAAGTCCTCCCCTTTTAAAGCATGCTGGCTGGGGGATTCTGGGAGTTGGTCCACCCCTCTTAAAGTATGCTGGCTGGGGGATTCTGGGAGTTGAAGTCCTCCCCTCTTAAAACATGCTAGCTGGGGGATTCTGGGAGTTGCAGTCCTCCCCTCTTAAAGCATGGCTGGCCTGTGGATTCTGGGAGTTGAAGTCCTCCCCTCTTAAAGCATGCTGGCTGGGGGATTCTGGGAGTTAAAGTCCTCCCCTCTTAAAGCATGGCTGGCCTGTGGATTCTGGGAGTTGAAGTCCTCCCCTCTTAAAGCATGGCTGGCCTGTGGATTCTGGGAGTTGCAGTCCTCCCCTCTTAAAGCATGCCGGCTGGGGAATTCTGGGAGTTGAAGTCCTCCCCTTTTAAAGCATGCTGGCTGGGGGATTCTGGGAGTTGGTCCACCCCTCTTAAAGTATGCTGGCTGGGGGATTCTGGGAGTTGAAGTCCTCCCCTCTTAAAACATGCTAGCTGGGGGATTCTGGGAGTTGCAGTCCTCCCCTCTTAAAGCATGGCTGGCCTGTGGATTCTGAGAGTTGAAGTCCACCCCTCTTAAAGCATGCTGGCTGGGGGATTCTGGGAGTTGAAGTCCTCCCCTCTTAAAACATGCTAGCTGGGGAATTCTGGGAGTTAAAGTCCTTCCCTCTTAAATTATTCTGGCTGGTGAATTCTGGGAGCTGCAGTCCACCCCTCTTAAAGCATGCTGGCTGGGGGATTCTGGGAATTGAAATCCACCCCTCTTAAAGCATTGCGGCTGGGGGATTCTGGGAGTTGAAGTCCACCTGTTTTAAAGGATGATTTTCTCAGATGCAACCAGGAAGTGAAGTCCTGAGATAAATATGGAAGAATAATGAAATAAAACTTTGAAAACTGGAAAGAATCATCAGAAACCCCTGGGTTTGAAAATTGATAAAAAAGAGAGAAATTTAATTGCTCCACCAATTATTTTCACCTTCCCTGCTTTAAACTCTTGACCTCTATCCAAGGGTGTCCTTGGTCCACATTCCTAGATAAGATCAATAAATAAAATTATAGGATTTTGACTTTCTTTATATCAGCATCTCCCACCAAAGGAAAGCAAAGCATTTCAAACCGTCCATGGCTGATTTCTGAGGTAAAATATAAGCAAATTTTCCCTTCCCAGGTCAGCAAACCTCTTCTTGGATCGATGGATCCCTTCCTTGATTACCTTCATACAGGTCGGCCTGGACTTACGACCACAAGGGTGCCCCAAATGTCCATCGTTAAGCGAGAGTTGTCCTAGAGTCCGACCTTTCTAGCCACAGTTATTAAGTGAATCGCCACTGTTGTTAAGTGGGCAGCACGGTCGCTAAGTGACACCTAGCTTGTCAGAAAGTCTTCTTTTGAAGGAGAGACTGGACAGCCGTTTGTCTGAAATGGTGTAGGCAGGGTTTCCTGCCTGAACAGGGGGTTGGACTAGATGACGTCGGAGGTCCCTTCCAACTTTATTATTATTATTATTATTATTATTATTATTATTATTATTATTATTACTATTACTATTATTACTATCACTATTATTATTATTGCTGTTACTATTGCTATTATTACTATTACCATTATTATTATTACTATTATTACTAATATCATTACTATTACTATTATTATTACTACTATTACTACTATTATTATTACTATTATTACTATTGCTATTATTACTATTATTACTAATATTATTACTATTACTACAATTACTATTACTATTATTACTATTACTATTATTACTATTACTATTACTGATAGAATGATAGATAGATAGATAGATAGATAGATAGATAGATAGATAGATAGATAGATATTAGACAGATGATATAGATAGGTAGGTAGGTAGGTAGGTAGGTAGGTAGGTAGGTAGGTAGGTAGGTAGATAGATAGATAGATAGATAGATAGATAGATAGATAGATAGATAGATAGATAGATAGATAGATAGATACGTGGATAGATTTGAGAGAGAAAAATGATAGATGATAGAGATATTACAGACATATAGATGATAGAAAGACAGAGATAGAGATATTAGAGACATATAGATGAGATAGATAGATATATAGATAGATAGATAGATAGATAGAGAGAGAGAGAGAGAGACAGACAGACAGATAGATAGGTACGTGGATAGATTTGAGAGAGAGAAAGAGGAATGATAGATGATAAATAGAGATATTAGAGACATATAGATGAGATAGATAGATAGATAGGGATAGACAGACAGAGATAGAGATATTAGCGACATATAGATGGGAGAGATAGATAGATAAATAGATAGAGACAGACAGATAGGTAGGTAGGTAGGTAGGTAGGTACGTGGATAGATTTGAGAGAGAGAGAGAGAGAAATGATAGATGATAGATAGACAGATATAGATATTAGAGACATATAGATGAGATAGATACATAGATAGATAGAGATAGATAGATAGATGATAGATAGATAGATACAGACAGATAGATAGGTACGTAGATAGATTTGAGAGAGAGAGAGAGAGAGAGAGAGAGAGATTAGATGGACAGACAGACAGAAAGCAAAGAGAAGACAACAAAATAAAAAAACAACAAAATCCATAAGTCTGATCTAAACCCTTCCAGTTCAATTTCTTCCAACTCATGGGCTGACTTGGCTGACCTCCCTTTCTGGGGTCCCCCCCCAAAAAGAGACACCCCCCATCGTCCCTCCGGTCCCTCCACCCCCAGTGACCCCTCTTCAGCCCCCCCCCCCAGGGTCCCTTGCGCAAGAGGGATGTCGACAGGGCTTCTCCAACGGCCTCCTCCCCTCTTGCGTCGGTTGGACCCCAAACCCCCATTTCCTGGGCTGGGAGGGTTGGGGGGGGCATGGGGGGAAGCCACCTGCTGGGCCCCCCCCACCCGAGGGAGGAGGGAGGGGCCATAAATAGGGCAGCCCCGAGTGGCGTCTCCAGGCTGGGCCAGCGAGACTCAGTTTCCCCTTCGGAGAAGCCGGCTGAGGAAGATGATCCCCACTTGGGCGGCTCTGCTGGTCCTGGGCTTGGCTACCGCAGCCCCCCAGACGCGGGTCCTGACCCAGCAGCAGGCCCTGGCCTCGGCCGTCGCCCTCTACAACCAGCAGAGACCCTCGGAGTGGGCCTTCCGCCTGCTGGAGGCCGAGCCCCAGGCGGACTGGGTGAGCCTGGGGGGGGGGGCTGGGGGGGTCTTGGCCCCCAGGGGGAGGGGGGCTTCTGCTCCCCCCCCAGCCGTCGGGTTTCCCCTGCCCTGGGGGGGCCTTTGCGGCCTTCTGATCCTTCCCTTCCCTTCCACTCTGTTTTTTTCTTTTTCTTTTCCTTTCTTTTCCCTTCCTCTTTCTCTTTCTCCTTTCCTCTTCCCCTCTGTTTGTTTTTCCCTTCCCTTCCCTTTCCTTTCTTCCCTTTCCCTTCTCCTCTTCTTTTTTCCTTTCCTTCCCTTCCTTTTCTCTTTCTCCTTTCCTTCCCTTCCCTTCCCCTGTTTGTTTTTCCCTTTTCTTTCCTTCTCCTTCCCCTCTGTTCTTTTTTCCTTTCCTTTTCCTTTCTCTTCTTTCTCTTTTTCTGTCTCCTTTCCTCTTCTCTTCTTATTCCTTCCTTCCTTCCCTTTCCCTTTCCCTTTCCTTGTCTCCTTTTTCCCCTTTCCCTTCCCTTCTTTCCTTTTTCTCTTTCTCCTTGCCTTTCCACTTCCCTTCTCTTCTTTTTCCTTCCTTCCTTTCCTTCCCTTTCGCTTTCCTCTTCTTCCCTTCCTCCACCTTTCCTTTCCCTTCTTCTTTTTCTCTTTCTCCTTTCCTTTCTCTTTCCCTTCTTCTTTTTCTCTCTCCTTTCCTTTCTCTTTCCGTTCTTCTTTTTCTTTCTCCTTTCCTTTCTCTTTCCCTTCTTCTTTTTCTCTTTCTCCTTTCCTTTCTCTTTCCCTTCTCTTCGTATTCCTTCCTTCCATTATTCTTCCTTCCTTCCCTTTCCCTTTTCTTTTTCCTTTCCTTTCCCTTTCCTTCTCTTCCCTTCTCTTCTCCTTTCCTTTTCCTGCCCTTCTTTCTCTCTTTCTCTTTCTCTTTCTCCTTTCCTTCCCCTTCCCTTCTTTTCCTTCCTTCCTTCCCTTTCCCTTTTTCCCTTCTCTTCCCTTCTCCTTTTCCTGCCCTTCTTTCTCTCTTTCTCATTCGCTTTCTCCTTCCTTTCCCACTTCCCTTCCCTCTTCTTTCCTTCCCTTCTTCTTTTTCTCTTTCCCCTTTCCTTTCCCCTTCCCTTCTTTTCCTTCCTTCCTTCCCTTTCCCTTTTCCCCCTTCTCTTCCCTTCTCTTCTCCTTTCCTTTTCCTGCCCTTCTTTCTCTCTTTCTCCTTTCCTTCCCACTTCCCTTCCCTTCTACTTTCCTTTCCTTTCCCTTCTTCTTTTCCTCTTTCCCCTTCCCTTCTTTTCCTTCCTTCCTTCCCTTTCCCTTTTTCCCTTCCCTTCTCTTCTCCTTTCCTTTTCCTTCCCTTCTTTCTTTCTCTCTTTCTCATTCGCTTTCTCCTTCCCTTCCCGCTTCCCTTCCCTTCTCTTTCTTTCCCTTCCCTTCTACTTTCCTTTCCTTTCCCTTCTTCTTTTCCTCTTTCCCCTTTCCTTCCCTTCTTTTCCTTCCCGTTCCCTTTTCTCTTTTTCCTTCCCTTCCCACTTCCCTTCCCTTCTCCTTCTTTCCCTTCCTTGGAAAGTGGGTTTGTTTGTTGTTTTTTTTTTTTTTTGTTTGTTTGTTTTGCGTTGCCCGCAGCCACTAGGGATCGTTTGCCCTGGCCAACCCACTTTGGGCTGAGAAAGCTGGCTTGTTGGGAGGAAGGAATGAAGGTTTAAACTCCCGGCTGGAGCCTCCATGGAGCCTTTGTCAGATGGGGGACATTTCCCAGGAGGGGGGGTGTTGAATGTTGTCTCTTCTTCCCTTTCCCCCCTCCGCTTCCCGCAGGACCCGACCAGCCCAAGCCCGCAGGGGCTGAAGTTCTCCATCAAGGAGACGGTGTGTCCCTCCTCGCAGACCCACAACCTGACCCAGTGCGACTACAAGGAAGACGGGGTGAGCTTCCCCCTCCCACCCTGGCCTTTCCCCACGGCTGGCTGGGCTTCCTCGGGGTTGGGGGGGGGGCGTCCTGGGCCCTGCAAGGTTAGAAGGGTGTGTGTGTGGGGGGGGGGTCTCCAGCTGGACCCCTCTGGGGTTCCTGTCTGTGATCCGCCTGCAAATTTCACTCCAGTTTTGCTCACCACCACGTCAAACAAGATGTTGGGACTCCGGAAAGAGTGCAGAGAAGAGCATCTAGCTATCATTTCTCTCTCTCTCTCTCTCTCTGGTATATATCTCTATTGTTCTCTCTATCTATGTATCTCTCTGTCTGCTTGTCTGCCTCTCTATCTATGCATCCATCCATCCATCCATATCTATCTATCTATCATTTCTCTCTCTCTCTTTCTCTCTTGTATATATCTCTATTGCTCTCTCTCGCTCTCTCTATGTATCTCTATCTATCTATTTCTATCTAACTATCTGTGTCTGTCTATCTATCCATCCACATCTATCATTTCTCTCTCTCTCTCATATATATTGCTATTGCTCTCTCTCGCTCTATGTCTCTCTCTATTTCTATCTACTATCTCTGTCTCTGTCTGTCTGTCTATCTATCCATCCACATCTATCTATAATTTCTCTCTCTCTCTCTCTCTCTCTCTCTCTCTCTAGCTCTCTCTATGATATATATCACTATTGCTCTCTCTCTCTCTAACTCTCTCTATCATGATCTCTATAGCTCCCTATCTCTATCTATCGTTATCTAACTCTATCTATGTCTCTCACTTTCTATCTATTCATCCATCCACATCCATCTATCATTTCTCTCTTTCTTTCTAGCTCTCTATGGTATATATCTCTATTGCTCTCTCTCACTCTATCTATCTATGTATCTCTATCTATTTCTATCTAACTATCTATGTCTCTGTCTGTCTATCTATCCATCCACATCTATTATCTCTTTCTCTCTCTTTCTCTCTCTCTCTCTCTCGTATATATCTCTATTGCTCTCTCTCGCTCTCTCTATCTATGTATCTCTATCTATTTCTATATAAATATCTATGTCTCTGTCTGTCTATCCATCCACATCTATTCTCTCTCTCTCTCTCTCTCTCTTTCTCTCTCTCGTATATATCTCTATTGCTCTCTCTCGCTCTCTCTATCTATGTATCTCTATCTATTTCTATATAAATATCTATGTTTCTGTCTGTCTATCCATCCACATCTATTCTCTCTCTCTCTCTCTCTCTCTTTCTCTCTCTCTCGTATATATCTCTATTGCTCTCTCTCGCTATCTATGTATCTCTATCTATCTATTTCTATCTAACTATTTCTATGTCTCTGTCTGTCTATCTATCCATCCACATGTATCTATCATTTCTCTCTCTCTACTCTTTCTATGGTATATATCTCTATAGCTCCCTATCTTAATCTATTTCTATATGTCTCTCAATTTCAATCTATTCACCCATCCACATCTATCTATCATTTCTCTCTCTTTCTCTAGCTCTCTCTATGGTATCTCTCTCTCTCTCTCTCTCTCTCTCTCTCTCTCTCTCTCTCTCTCTCTCTCGTATATCTCTATAGCTCCCTATCTCTATCTATCTATGTCTCTCACTTTCTATCTATTCATCCATCCACATCTATCATTTCTCTCTCTCTCTCTCTCTCTCTCTCTCTCTCTCTCTCTGCCTATCCGTCCATCCATTCACATCTATATCATTTCTCTCTCTGTGTGTCTCTAGCTCTCTCTATGGTATATATCTCTACTGCTCTTGCTCTCTCTCTCTAACTATCTATGTCTATCTGTCTGTTTGTCTGTATCTATCTGTCTGTCTGTCTTTCCATCCATCCATCTCTCTCTGTCTCTCTCTTCTATCTCTTTATCTCTCTCTCGCTCCCTCTATTTATCTATCGATCATCTGTCTGTCTGTCTCTCTGTCTGTCTATCTATTCTCTCCCTCTCCCTCTCTCTCTCTCTCTGTCTCCTTTGTCTGCGTTGGTTTTTCCAGGAGAACAATAGTTCTAATGCTTCCTTCCTCCACTGGGGCTGGACTAGATGATCTCCATTTTATCCTCTGGACTTTCCGTTCTATGAGGCTTGGGCTTGTAGTTCTCCACCTCAGCCATTTTGAGAGGCCTGGACCTCAACTCCCAGGATTCCCATCAGAGGCTGGGGGGGGGGGAGTCCCAGCACGCAGGCAGGGGGATTCTGGGAAGGGAAGCGAGAGCAGGGCACACCCCCCACAGGGGAGGAACTGGGATTTCTTGAGGGGGCCACAGTAACTATTTTTTTTGGTCACCGGAGAGGGACTCTCTGTCTCTGTGTGTGTGTGTGTGTGTGTGTGTGTGTTGGTGAAACGAAATCTTTGTGTGTTCCCCTCTTGTGATTCTCTTGAGCAGCTGGATCAAGATTGCTCCGCCATCTACTCGACACAACAAGAACAATCGCCCATTGTGAGCGTCCAGTGTGAGGACATGGACCGAGAGGTAATTTTGGTGACCGCCTGCGTTCCTTTCTTTTCAATTCAGGAAGGGAGTCCCAGGGAGTCCCCGACTTACGACGGTTCGTTGAGCGACCGTTCAAACTTGCGGGACGTCGGACACTTTGTCACAGTTGTGATGGTTGCGGCATCCCTGGGGTTTCGTCATGAAAACTCAGGGGCTCGGCCACTGACTCGTCTTTATGATGGTCGCTGTGTCCCCGGGGTCAGGTTAACAACCGGGCTACGAATTGAACAACCGCAGTGACTCACTTAACTAAGGTGGGAAGGAAAGGTGTAAAATGAGGCAAAACTCCCTTAACGTACGTCTCGCTTTACGACAGGAATTTTGGGCTCAACTGTGGTCGTAAGTCGAGGACTGCCTGTATATAATATAATATATAGCATAGCATAGAATGGTATAGCGTAGTACAGTATAATAATATGACATGACATAACATAGTATAACCATGACATTACATGGCATGGCATGATATAACATAAGATAATATAGTATAATGTAACAACGTAACACAACAATACAGTACAACATAACATAGCACAACACAACACAATACAACATAACATTAGTATAATATATAGTATAACATAACATAGTATAGTATAATGTAACATAACGTAAGACAACAATATAGTACAACATAACAGCACAACACAACACAATACAACATAACATAACAGTATAGTATAACATAACAACAATATAGTATAACATAACATAGTATAGCATAACATTAGTATAACATAACATAGTATAACATAACATAACAGTATAGTATAACATAACAATATAGTACAACATAACATAATGTAACTTTAGTATAGTATATAACATAACATAGTATAGTATAATGTAACATAACGCAACACAACAATATAGTACAACATAACAGCACAACACAACATAACATAACAGTATAGTATCATAACAACAATATAGTATAACATAGTATAACATAACATTAGTATAACATAACATAATATAACATAACATAGTATAACATAACATAATAGTATAATGTAACATAATATAACATAACAGAACAGTATAGTATAACATAACATAACATAACATAACAATATAGAATAATATAACAGTATAGTATAAATAACAATATAGTACAACATAACACAACATAACATAACATAACTTTAGTATAGTATATAACATAACATAGTATAGTATAATGTAATAACATAACATAACATAACGAAGTATAACATAACATAATAGTATAACAACATCATAACAATATAGTATAATATAACGTAACAGTATAATATAACATAACAATATAGCACAACATAACAAAATACAACACAACATAACAACGTAACAACTTTAGTATAGTATATAACATAACAGTATAGTATAATGTAATAACGTAACATAACATAACATAATATAGTATAGTATAACGTAACAACATAACATAACATAGTATAACATAACATTAGTATAACATAACTATGTAAGTATGTCAGTCTGACGGGGTTTAGATTAGTCTTTTTTAAAGGTGAACACTTGAATATGGGAGGACTTCAACTCCCAGAATCCCCCAGCCCCATGCTTTCAGACAATTGGACTTCAGTTCCCAGAATTCCCCAGCCAGCATTCTTCTTAAGTTTACTCATCTTAAAGTGGCCACATTTTTTTTTAAAAAAACCCCTCATTCTACAGCAGGGATTCCCAAGCTTAAAGAGGCATGGACTTACTTCAACTCCCAGAATTCCCCAGCCAGCATGGATTCTGGGAGTTGAAGTCCACCCCTCTTAAAGAGACCAAGGTTAAAGAAAAACAAAACCACTGGTTTAGATCAGAGGTCTTCCAACTTGGCCCTTTTATGACTGGTGGACTTCAACTCCCAGAATTCTGGGAGTTGAAGTCCACCAGTCATAAAAGGGCCATGTTTGAAGACCTCCTGGTCTGGATCCAAAAAATGGCCGACTGAGGAATTCTGGGAGTTGAAGTCCACCCGTCATAAAAGGGCCAAGCGTGAAGACCCCCTGGTCTAGAGACACGATCTGTGGTTGCGTACTGTACAGTCCAGTTTCCCTAAATTGGCCACTGACAGACACGTGGTCTTCAATTCCCAGAATTCCTCCATCCTCGTGGCTGGCTGGGGAATTCTGGGAGCTGCAGTCCACCCGTCTCAAAATGGCCGCCTGAGGGAAACTTCAGCTCGGCAGAGATTTGAAGAGAGGGCCTGAATGCAATTCACCTGGTTGATCTCACGGAATCTTTTTGATTTAGCTGAACCGGATCACCCGAAGTCGCTGGAGGAGGTTCGCGAGGGGAGCCGGTCGTTTCTTGAGGCGACATGGACCATCCTTGGCCTTCGCCGTCATCGGATAAAAATACAGACCGAAAAGTCCTTCCCGCTCCTGAGAGATCTGACAGCTTCGCTCTTGAAGACTTCGCTTGCGTCTTAAAAATTACACGGCTGATTTTTTTTTTTTTACCTATCCTTTTGATACCTTGCATAATAAAATGTCCTTTGGACCAAAGCAATTAAAAACATCTGGGTTCTTTTTTCCCCCCTCCCTCTGGAGTGAAGTGCTTTTGATGGTAAAGGTGAGAAAGAAAGAAAGAAAGAAAGAAAGAAAGAAAGAAAGAAAGAAAGAAAGAAAGAAAGAAAGAAAGAAAGAAAGAAAGAAAAAAGGGGAAAGAGGGAGAGGGAAAAAGGGAAAGGGAAAAGGGAGAGAGAAAGAAAGAAAAAGTAGGAAAGAAAGAAAAAGAAAGAAAGAGAAAGAAAGAAAAAGAAAAAAGGGGAAAGGGGAGAGGGGAAAAGGGAAAGGGAAAAGGGAGAGAGAAAGAAAGAAAAAGGGGGAAAGAAAGAAAGAAAGGAAGGAAGGAAGGAAGGAAGGAAGGAAGGAAAGAAAGAGAAAGAAAGAAAGAGAGAGAAAAAAGGAAGGAAGGAGAAAAATGCAGAAAGAAGAATTAAAAAGAAATGCAACTAACTTCCAATTTTCGCCCCAAATAGAAAGCAAGAAATTGAGAGAGGGAGGGAAAGAACGGGAGAGAGAAAAGGAAGGAAGGAAAGAAGGAAGAAAGGAAATGGAAAGAAAGAGGGAGAGAAAGAAAGGAGGAAAGAGAAAAAAAGAAAAAAGAAAGTTTGAGAATGAAAGGGAAAGAAAGGGAGAGAGAAAGAAGGAAGAAAGATAGAAAAAGAAAGAAAGGAAGGAAGGGATGAAGGAAGGAAAGGAAAGGAAGGAGAAAAATGCAGAAAGAAAAATTAAAAAGAAATGCAACTAACTTCCAATTTTCACCCCAAATAGAAAGCAAGAAATTGAGAGAGGGAGGGAAAGAAAGGGAGAGAGAAAAGGAAGGAAGGAAAGAAGGAAGAAAGGAAATGGAAAGAAAGAGGGAGAGAAAGAAAGAGGAGGAAAGAGAGAAAAAAGAAAAAAGAAAGTTTGAGAATGAAAGGGAAAGAAAGGGAGAGAGAAAGAAGGAAGGAAGATAGAAAGAAAAAGAAAAAGAGAAAGGAAGGAAGGGATGAAGGAAGGAAAGGAAAGAAAGGGAGAGAAAGAAAGAAGGAAGGAGAAAAATGCAGAAAGAAAAATTAAAAAGAAATGCAACTAACTTCCAATTTTCGCCCCAAATAGAAAGCAAGAAATTGAGAGAAAGGGAGAGAGAAAAGGAAGGAAGGAAAGAAGGAAGAAAGGAAATGGAAAGAAAAAGGGAGAGAAAGAAAGGAGGAAAGAGAGAGAGAGAGAAAAAAGTTAGAATGAAAGGGAAAGAAAGGGAGAAAGAAACAGAGAAAGAAGGAAGGAAAGAAAAAGAAAAAGGAAGGAAGGAAGGAAAGGAAAGAGGGAGAGAAAGAAAGGAAGGAGAAAAATGCAGTAAGAAAAATTAAAAAGAAATCCAAGTAGCTTCCAATTTTCACGCCAAATAGAAAGCAAGAAATTGAGAGAGGGAGGGAAAGTAAGTTGGAGAGAGAAAGAAAGAAAGGAAGGAAGAAAGAAAGAAAGAAAGAAAGAAAGAAAGAAAGAAAGAAAGAAAGAAAGAGAAAAATTAAAAAGAAACGGAAGGACCTTCCCTTTTCCTTCGAAGCAAATAAAAAACGTAATTCCCAAATTCTCTCCCTCCTCAGCAGAGCCGGCTTCCTCCTGGCTTTTCTCCCTGGGTTTTTTCCTCCTGGGATGCCCTCCGTTTGTCTGAAATGGTATCGGATCTCTTGCTTGAGTCGGGGGTTGGACTAGATGACCTCCAAGGTCCCTTCCAATTCTGTTATTCTGTGATTTCTGTAAGGGTCTCCTGCCTGAGTGGGGGGGTTGGACTAGATGACCTCCAGGGTCCCTTCCAAGTCTGCTATTCTGTAATTCTGCAAGGGTCTCCTGCCTGAGGGGGGGGGTTGGACTAGATGACCTCCAGGGTCCCTTCCAACTCTGCTGTTCTGTAATTTCTGTAAGGGTCTCCCGCTTGAGCAGGGGGCTGGACTAGATGACCTCAAAAGGCTCTTCCCACTCTGTTAGATCAACGTTTGGTCTTTTTGGATTGTCGAGCGGAGGAAAAAAGCCGGAAAAAACAGGGTTGGCTTCGCTTGCTGAGAGAATGATGCATCGGCACGCCCGGTTTCTGTGAAACCGCAACACACGCGCGCGCCCACACACACACACACACACACGGGGATGTCCCACTTGGCTGGGCAAAAATGCCGCTTGGGTTACACACAATTACACACAATTACACAGCCCGGTGATTTTCAAAAGTGGCAATGGAGAAAGCCAGGGGGGGGAAGTAGGGTGGAGGGGGGGTGAGTCTTTACGGGAAAATAATTGGACCCGGGTGAGAATTTGGCGTCTTGCCGGGGCTGGGATGGAGGGAGGGGTTGTCACCGTTGCCAGTCAAGTTGGTGAGGGGATCTGTCATCAAGCTCAGAGTCCTTCCTTCCTTCCTCCTCCTCCTCCTCCTCCTCCTCATCTCCACATATCCCACTCTCTTCTAGCACTGAGGATGTTCTCTAGTTGGGTCACGAAAGGCTTGCAAGAAAACAACCAGACTCAGATAACACCAGGGCACTTTGGGCCAATCACCAGGAGACGCTGAGTTCTAGTCCCGCCTGAGGCATGAAAGCCGTATGGATGACTTTGGGCCAATCATGAGGAGACTGGGAGTACTAGTCCCGCCTTAGCCATGAAAGACAGCTGAGTGACTTTGAGCCAATCATGAGGAGACTGGGAGTTCTAGTCCCGCCTTAACTATGAAAGACAGCTGAGTGACTTTGGGCCAATCACCAGGAGATGGTGAGTTCTAGTCCCGCCTTAGTGATGAAAGACAGCTGAGTGATGTGGGCCAATCATGAGGAGACTGGGAGTTCTAGTCCCGCCTTAGCCATGAAAGACAGCTGAGTGACTTTGGGCCAATCACCAGGAGATGGTGAGTTCTAGTCCCGCCTTAGTGATGAAAGACAGCTGAGTGATGTGGGCCAATCATGAGGAGACAGTGAGTTCTAGTCCTGCCTGAGGCATGAAGGACAGGTGGGTAACTTTGGGCCAATCACCAGGAGACTGGGAGTTCTAGTTCCGCCTTAGCCATGAAAGACAGTTGAGTGAGTTTGGGCCAATCACCAGGAGACTGAGAGTTCTAGTCCCACCTTAGTGATGAAAGCCAGCTGAGTGAGTTTGGGCCACTCACCAGGAGATTGAGAGTTCTAGTTCTGCCTCAGGCATGTTAGCCACAAAGATGACTTGGGCCAATCATGAGGAGACTGGGAGTTCTAATTCCACCTTAGCCATGAAAGACAGCTGAGTGACTGGACCAATCACCAGGAGGCTGAGAGTTTTAGTCCTGCCTTAGCCATGAAAGACAGCTGAGTGACTTTGGGCCAATCATCAGGAGATGGTGAGTTCTAGTTCCGCCTTAGCCATGAAAGACAGCTGAGTGACTTTGGGCCAATCACCAGGAGGCTGAGAGTTCTAGTCCCGCCTTAGCCATGAAAGACAGCTGAGTGACTTGGGCCAATCATGAGGAGACAGTGAGTTCTAGTCCTGCCTGAGGCATGAAGGACAGGTGGGTAACTATGGGCCAATCACCAGGAGACTGAGAGTTCTAGTCCCGCCTTAGTGATGAAAGCCAGCTGAGTGAGTTTGGTCCAATCACCAGGAGATTGAGAGTTCTAGTTCTGCCTCAGGCATGTAAACCACAAGGGTGACTTGGGCCAATCATGAGGAGACTAAGAGTTCTAGTCCTGCCTTAGCCATGAAAGACTGCTGAGTGACTTTGGACCACTCACCAGGAGGCTGAGAGTTCTAGTCCTGCCTTAGCCATGAAAGACAGCTGAGTGACTTTGGGCCAATCATGAGGAGATGGTGAGTTCTAGTCCCGCCTTAGTGATGAAAGACAGCTGAGTGACTTTGGGCCAATCATGAGGAGATGATGAGTTCTAGTCCTGCCTGAGGCATGAAGGACAGGTGGGTAACTTTGGGCCAATCACCAGGAGACTGAGAGTTCTAGTCCCGCCTTAGTGATGAAAGCCATCTGAGTGAATCACCAGGAGATTGAGAGTTCTAGTTCAGCCTCAGGCATGTAAGCCACAAGGGTGACTTGGGCCAATCATGAGGAGACTGAGAGTTCTCGTCCTGCCTTAGCCATGAAAGACTGCTGAGTGACTTTGGACCAATCACCAGGAGACTGAGAGTTCTAGTCCTGCCTTAGCCATGAAAGACAGCTGTGTGACTTTGGACCAATCACCAGGAGGCTGAGACTTCTAGTCCCGCCTTAGCCATGAAAGACAGCTGAGTGACTTTGGGCCACTCACCAGGAGATGGTAAGTTCTAGTCCTGCCTGAGGGATGAAAGCCATATGGATGACTTTGGACCAATCATGAGGAGACTGGGAGTACTAGTTCCGCCTTAACTATGAAAGACAGCTGAGTGACTTTGGGCCAATCATGAGGAGACTGGGAGTTCTAGTTCCGCCTTAGCCATGAAAGACAGCTGAGTGACTTTGGGCCAATCATGAGGAGACTGGGAGTTCTAGTTCCGCCTTAGCCATGAAAGACAGCTGAGTGACTTTGGGCCAATCATGAGGAGACTGGGAGTTCTAGTCCTGCCTTAGTCATGAAAGACAGCTGAGTGACTTTGGGCCAATCACCAGGAGACTGAGAGTTCTAGTTCTGCCTCAGGCATGTAAGCCACAAAGATGACTTGGGCCAATCATGAGGAGACTGGGAGTTCTAGTCCCGCCTTAGCCATGAAAGACAGCTGGGTGACTTTGGGCCAATCACCAGGAGGCTGGGAGTTCTAGTTCCGCCTTAGACATGAAAGACAGCTGGGTGACTTTGGGCCAGTCCTTCTCTCTCTAGCCCAACCCACCTCACAGGGTCGTTGTAGTGGGGGGGGGAAAGGAGGAAGAAGGAGGAGGGCACTTATCCGTCACCTGGAATGGTTGATTAAAATCATAAAGGCGGCGCGTAAATCAATCAAACAAAAAATATATACATAATAAAGCCAGGGGATACCGTGAGACCCAGGTTCAGGAGTTCCCACTTTTGGTTTCCAGCTTCTGCTCACATGCTTCCTGTTGCTTATGGGCTTCCCGCTTCACACCGGTGGAGTTGTGAGTTCCCTATTTTGTGTGGACTTTCCGCACAGAGTTAGGTCTGACTCAGCCCGTCCTTTTGCTCCCTGGAGTTGGGCCTGCTCAGG